GAAACACATGGGCAAATGGCACATAGATTAACTGACAGACAGGTGAGCAGAGCCACAAACAGATGACAGCAGATCAGAACGATTGCATCAATTATAGCAGCGTGCAAAAATTTTAAGCACCCCCTACTTTGCATCCAAGCAGCTTACTGAAATGTTTTTAAAGTGATCTTGATCAATAAATCTGCAGGTTTTCTAAAGTTTTTTTCAAAGGACTTCTTGTGTTTTGGGCTTTTATTTCCCTACACATCTGCCCAGTCTTTGTTCCTGGTCATAAAAGAATCGTGTGCAGTTTATAGATAAAGAAGAAAGTGGACAAGTGGAGGACAAGGTAAAAATGATCAGACTTTGAAAACTAACAGTGAAAGTTTTAACTTTTTAGGAAAACTCAATCATTAAAAACCTGAGAGATGAATCATTCTTCAGCTGATCATCTACTTTATGTCAAGTCTTTTTAGCAAATAGCTCTTTTGTAAAAAAAAAAAAAACAATTGGCACTAAAATACCTTTTTACAGTATGTTGTCAAACCATGTTATCTTTGGAATTTTTCATTGGATCAACAAAAAATTGAGTTTTTGTGGCAAGTTATTGCTAACAAAATACCTGAATAATCCAATTAAACCTGGTTTGTGGTGTCCAATACACTGTTTTATTACATGAGTTTAGGTTTTAAACCTGAATTAATCACTGGTGATGCATATTCCTCTTAAAATGATCAGGTACAGGGTGAGAAAAAAACAGCGAAAAACAAACGTTTAAAAAAATCTGCAGAAAGCCTAAAAACGATTCATCAAGAACACTTTAAAAGTCTGGATTATTGGAAGTAAAATAATTATAATAAATGAGAGATGGCTGAAGACTTTTGCACAACACTGTATTGCATCAGTTCAATTCATATTTGTATAAAAATTGTGTACAGAAGGGGGGGAAAAAACATCACAGCAGACACGGCCTGCAGGTTTCTGAAGCACTGAAACTCTGACAACAAATCAAACAGAGAGAGAAAATCTAATAGATGACAGTTTTACAAAACATGTTCCTACTGTGATAACTACGAAATATCACTGCGAGCTGTACTTTAATGCCGGCTTAACAAGAACATGAACAGCATTTCTAAAGAAGCTGGAACTGGTGAGTTACGGTGAGTTTTGCGAGCATCAAAAGAACTGATTAGCAGTTAGTCTGAATGGGATAGTTAAGACACGGAAAGATGAAATAAAAATGTTTAAAAAAAACGGTGACGATGATGACATTAGACGTCTACACTGTAAGAAATGGCCGTGAAATTTACATAAAAACTATGTGAAATCACAACAGAAAAATACTGTAAACTGGAAAGCATAAATGTTTTGTTTAATTCACAGTAAGTCTTTGTGAACTGTCAAACAAAATTTTAATGTTATTTTTACAAAAATAATATGTGAATATAATCAAAAGTATTTATTAAAACAACACATGGTGATAAAAAACACAGAAAAATGTTGTAACAGCCATAACAAAGCAATTTTGTTAATATGACATAGAAATAC